TCAATGAAACATAAAGACTTTGTTGTTCGCCTGTTCTTGCGGAATAACATCTCCAACAAAGCTGTTTCTCTTTTGCTATCTTTGAAGGTTGCAGTGAGGAATGATAGAGATGTCCCTCTAAATCCGAACGTTACAAACACAGTGAGCGTATACCGTTACTTACACACGCCTATGTGTTATTAACACACACGCTCGTTTGGCAGGGGAGGAGTTCTGGGGGAAGTGACGCGCTCGTGCTTTGTGATACCATCACATTGTCACAGATCAACAGATAAACATAAGTAATGATGCCACTTACATCTAAAAATATATCTCATTTAATAGGTAATTTGTAAGATAGTGACGAGTTAATATCCAAGACTACAAAAAGCTTGTCACAACAAGTTAAACGTGAAAGAGGGAAGTATTTTTCCATTAGTGAAAAAGTCCCTTGTTTAGAAGATGTGTAAAAACACAACGAGAATCACTCCGAATCCTTGACATACGGCGGTATGCATATTGACACAGGCAGTTGGTTTATGGGTGTGATTCATCATCTGTATACAGTGGCTTAACAACCTTACGGGCGTAATGCACACTGAGACAACTCATCGATGTTATTTTTTATCAGTACATTTTATCAATATATATCTAAACACATTTAATTAATGCAGGATGTGAAAAGAAGAACCTTTACAGAGCATTTAGATCTGGATAATTTAAGAAAAAGCGAAGTCTTCATGTATATAATTTTCTTATATACGACTCGAACCAAAGGAAATCTTTAACTGAAACTAAACTCGTAGCAATGGTAAGTAAATACAGTACAAATATAACGTGAAATAATTTTAGTCGTGAAACTGGGCCAAAAGTATACATACATATTAGAAGGTGACTTAATTTTAAACGTGCTCAGAATTATTGATTTAAATTGATGAATTTGGAACGGATATTATAGTTATGTTTTGGGCCTTAAGTTTGTACTATTTCGGCTACATGTTTTCAGCCTAATAAGGTTTGGGTAGCGTTTGTAATAATTATTGTTTTTGTTACATCCAGTTTTCAGTGTATACTTTCTTTATCCTGGCAGTTTACTTACATTTTTTCCAAAGTTCCGAAATTATTTTATTTTTGGATCATTTTGCCTACACTGCTATTCTGGAACAAGCGATACATCAAAACACGTTCCTTTTTTTGGAAGAAAAAAGCCCCGGTAGTTTTCTGTAACGTTACAATTTGTCATTTTTCGGCCTAAGAGAAGTTATCATACCTCGCGCTTTCCATGAATCACGTGATGTAATATCCTTAAATCTTATCCCTACATCGAAACTGACTCCCAAAGATATCAGCGTCAGTTGAAAAAATTGTAATATTATATTTAAAGACTGAAATATATTCATAATTGAGATAAATATTATCCTGGTAGATACGTAGCTTCCTGCTAGTCAAAGAACGATATTGACTGCGTCTCGATGTCTTTACTGAAAACATAACCGCAGTGCAAAGCCCATCACATACACGATTCTGTTCCAAGCACAAAGTGTATTAATTTATACGAACTGGAGATGTGTCGTTCTATCAGACAACACTCAAATAAAATATTTATGCTTGCGGGATAAACCAGTATGGAACAGGTGGTACCCACAATCGCTGTCTGTATCTGCCAGGTGCAAAAACGAATATTTATATAATATACTGTCTTCAATTTATACTTGGCACGGGGTCAAATTGTTCTTGAGAAAATATTTTCGAAGTCCAAACATGAGAATATTTGAATGATTTTATTTAACCAAATACGTTATAACGCTCTTTCGTAACCTAAACTATCACTTTAACGATCTTTGGCCAAATAAAATTGATAAAATTTGGGTTCAAATTAACTTAAGAACTCAATTTTCGGCTTTAATAGTAAAAATTTAAAAATTTAATTCAGATTTTAGTTAAAATTGGATAGATTTTTGTAATTTCAATTACAGTGAATCAAATCCTGTGGAAAAAGATGTTTCGAAGAGTAGGGCTTTAAGGCTGAATCTAGTGATTTTACTTGGTTAATCACTTAAGAGACAAATATAGATTCATTGTACGCTGGAGAATGGACTTTTCAAGCACAGTGAAGTGAACTGACGGTATTGTAGGGAACGCGCATCGCATTCAGAAACCCTGTCCAAAGCGGGATAGAAACATCGCGTTAACTGACACATCTTCACTGTCACAAATTAACAAGATTGGGTGTTTACTCATTTCAAGGGAAGCTGGCGAATGGTAACACAGCATCGCTCGGTATGTGAGGGGCTCCAGCGATAAAGAGGCAGAGACGGTACATTGTGTCAAGACGATGAAGGGAGCTCAGCACCAAAGTTTTAAAGCTCTCTACAAGAAATCATGTTTTTACGGTTGTTTGTAATCCCAGCGCGCTATACATTCCGAGATGTGTAATTAACGGATCAAGACCACGCTAGGTTGGAGAGAGAGTTCAAATTAGTTTAACATAATGAAAGCCAGGCACCATTTCCATTTGTTGCCTTTTTGTTGGTTACAAGAGAAAACAGAAATGTAACTTACATCATTAAAAGCCGTTGAGCTGTGAGGGGAATTGAACCCCGGAGTGGATTGTGTGGAGGGGGGAGTCAGGTGAGGGGTGGGGTGTCGTATTAAAGCAGAGGGAGAGGGAGGGGGTAGGGGAAAGGACACTTTTGACGGAGTATCTGTGAGAAAGACGAAATCAGTAGTAGTTGGGTTGGAGTGGGAAGATTAGGTGTAAGACGGTGGTCTTGTGAAAACCGAGGGTGGGCGTTTTGTGGTGAGGATGTGTGTATTATTTTTATTTATTTTACCAATTCATCTATTTATTTATTTATTTAAATAGTATTATTTAGTTATTAATTTGTGGAGGCTAGGTGGGTTTGGGGTGGGCGACTGGTGGGTGGTGGGTGATATTAAATGGGACACTTTTGAGGAAGATCAAATCAATATTAGATTGTCATAAGTGTGAGAGGGTGTCGTCGTTGGTAGGAATGGATGCGCTTTTCGTGATAAGGATGCAAGGATGTAAAGGCGTATTCTGGAGGGGTTACTTGTGAGAAAAGCGTAAAACTGGTATTGGATGGGGTGGTCTCAGCAGAAAAAAGTGGTAGAGGGTGGATTGGAGGGGACGGGCAAGGTTAAGCGTTGTGGGTGTTTTTTAAAAAAAAAGATTGGAGGGATGGGGTGGGGGTGTATGTGTCTGTGGGTGAGGGTGTTATTGAAGCGTTTACTTTAGGGAAAGGTGAAGAGTACTTGGATTAAAGGGAAACAAAAAGAGCAAAAAAAATTAGGAGGGTGGGGTAAGGGTTGATACTAAACGATGTGCGTTTGAGGGTATACCTGTGAGAAAAAATCATCTCGGGTTGAAATAAGATGGGGTTGCGCTGTCCAGGAGGTGTGGTGATTAAGAGATGGCGGCAATATTTGGGGGAGGGAGATGTTCATTTCAGGTTGGAGGGACGGGCAGATTGATGGTTAACGGTGGGTGTCCATGTTTGGCTGATTTACAGCTGTAGCTCTCCCCCCGGCTGGCTGCCCACATCGGAAAGGGGCGGGGGGGGGGGAGGTGAAGGGGGAGAGGGTATATGTGCACAGCGGGATAGCATCTGCTTTTAATCTCAATCTTTTGAAATATGCATGCGCATTATAGACATTATCATGGTTGGTGCTCACACTGCGGCAGGCGAGCCAAGTCGCCCCATTCACAACACCGACGCTGAGTGGCAGTTGTCTGATACTAGACCGTGTTTCAGTGTCCCCCGTATCTTTAAGGCAGATCGTCTCAACTCTTAGAATAGACAATGGCACGAAACAGGCAGTAAACAATGATTTACGAACGCAATAATAATTTCTATGAAGTTTACAGCACAGGTGAAAAATGAACCCGGAGCGTTAACGTCAAACAATGCGCACCAACAATAGAGGAGTGACGTCACCGCCATATATCTAGACAAGCAGGCCAATCTTTCATTGCATATATTACCTATATACATACATCACGCGGTGCATATGTGAGGTATGTCTCGCACACTCGCTGCTCATAATGATACTGCATGGGTTAAGTGCTCTATGCATCCCGAAGATGCATTAATCATACGTTTCTTTCAGGAAATATCAATTTCACAACCTCTCATGATGATATTTGTAGAATAGAATGATAACACTAACCATTAACTATTTTAAAAAATGCAAATAAATTTAACAAATAAATCATTCATAATATGTGTGTCTTTTTACAATAAACGGAACTTCGTATAAACAATACTTTAACGCAAATTGTTTTCAGTCTACCGTCAGTGTGATAAGACAATGCTCTATAAAACCCTTTGTCCGTTATATCAAAAAGCGAATGAGTCGTTTGGCTTCATAACCGCAATATCGCATTCATTTCTCCCTTTCCCCAAGCCATTTGTCATCGAAATCTGTTTAATCAGACACTTATGTTTCAAAGTCCAATTTTTTCTCGGGCTAAAAAAATATTCCATGCGTTGATATAATCAGTTTATCTCGCTACTTGAGCAGAGAGCGACTTCCAATAAACAATATGAAAGCGTGCACGATAACCCTAGCGATGGAGCCACGGTGGCCGGTCCGGGCTTTCATCCATCATTGAGCTGTTCCCTCTTACTACAAACAAACCACTGTGACAGAAAAGCACAGGATACAGATATATACACGGCTAGATTTGCCTAGAACAATCTAGCTGTATCTCACCACTGTCGGCACAATCTGAATGACAAACAGCCACCCTGGACCAGATCGCAAAACTGACAGTTTAAGAAACTTTGTAAACATAATAAAACTATATTCAATGGTAAAGGTGATTTGAAACACCCATAATACAATGTGAACAATTCAAGAAAACTTTAATTGTAACCGGCTTCTAACTAATTTCTTTCTTTCCAAAACATAAATACGTATTTTGTGTTGTTTAATACAAAAGAAAGCATTTCGTTTCGATAATATAATGTAATTGATAAAAAGAATATTGTACTTACCGATTCGTAAAACGCCCATCATTTGTAAAACTCCTCAGTCAGTCAAGAACAATTTGTTAAAAGTCCGACACAGTATTGAACTAAGCTTTCAAGCCGTGGTAGGAGCACTTTCCCTGTGTGGATGAAAGCGATTCTCTGGCTGTATAGATCCTGCCCAGTGACTACCAGGCTCCACGGCCAAGCTCGCTCTCGCAGCGCGCTCGTGACGTCATTGACGGATGCACGTGAGCTCGCACCGGTAGCATGACAACCCGTCGTCACCGTGCAGACCACGTCTTCACCTCCGTGTCGTTGTCCACGACGGGAGAAGACATCGTGTGACGGAATCATGCATAATGTAGATTAACATCGGTTTTATTTAGAGTGTTACACCTTGATCGGCGTGCCAGAGCTTAGAACAACTGTCGAGAACACTAGCTGAGGTTCTCCACGACGTTTTAGATGAAATTATATTTATTTGTTTCTAAGACTGAATCTTAAAACGGAAGGATCTGTTATTAAGTTAAGTTGTTCTATCTCTGATCCAAACGTCGAGGTGATTTAATTTTTTTAGTTTTATCATCATCATCATCATCATCATCATCATCATCATCATCATCATCATCATCATCATTATCCATCATTAGTTGCTGAAATATTGCCGATAAGACAACCAATATGATTTTTTATGCCATTTGTCTAACTATTATATTTGGAAGTTCTTGCTGTCATAATTATTATAATTCTTCGTATTTTTATACCGAGACATGTTGAAATAAGAAATATACATTTTCCTAAATAGAAGTCATATTGTTTATATGAGGTACGTGACGTCATAGTCTTACAGCGAATCACGCTGATCCGGTCATTTAACACAAGTTTGTCTACTCATTTGTCAAAATACACGTTGCGGACACTTCGCTTCAAAACCAAAACCAGCAATCAAATTCAAATACATGACTAATTATACAACGAAATCCGATAATCCAGACAATAAATTCCCTTTAAAGTTGTCCATTGAACACTTGTCAACAAAAACACAAGCGATGCATTGTCACCTTATACCGTTTTCCCAAGAGCAATTATTATCATGTACGTAGCGCCGTGAGCAGATAATATGTGTGGATATTGCTATTATTATTATCCGCAAAATGTTGAGTCCGGATTAAAAGGGGTCCCAACTGACGAGGTTCCTGTGTATAATTGTACCCCTGCGTTTACTCAAATCACTGTGTGAGTAAACGTGATGATATCCATGACAGAGATGCGCCCGATAATACCAGTATATTTACATAACTCATTACCTGACGAATGTACTTTTGCATAACAGTGACGCAACAGAGTGGAATACTTACAGCAACGATGTAAGCGCACATTAAGTCCTTTGGCCAGCAATTTCAGTCATTAGGAAAGCAGCATGCGGTCAGTAGATGACCCACGTGGCCAGTGCTGACCCCTGTTGGGCGCATGAAGCTCTGGAATGGCCAGTTTAAAACTCATTAATTGTAGAGAATTTGTTTTATCATGTACTGTAAGAATTGTGTGTAATGAACACTGCTGCAGTTAGACTAAATATTGTGTCATCAGTCACAGTGTTTAGACTCACTCTTACTGTGTGACATATTCAATAATCTGGTACAATGTCACATTTCATTCATCAAGCACACTCATATTCAGGCAACAAGTGCTTTGTGTCAAATTCAGTCATCATGCACAGTAAAATATAGTCATTCCTCCTGTTCTGTGCAACGTATTTATCCGGTACTGTGCAACATATCCATTCATCCATTTCTGTGCAACAGATCCATTCATCCATTTCTGTACAACATATCCATTCATCCGTTACTGTGTAACATATCCATTCATCCGGTACTGTGCAACATATCCATTCATCCAGTACTGTGCAACATATCCATTCATCCATTTCTGTGCAACATATCCATTCATCCATTTCTGTGCAACATATCCATTCATCCATTCCTGTGCAACATATCCATTCATCTGCTACTGTGTAACATATCCATTCATCCAATACTGTGCAACACATCCATTCATCCGATACTGTGCAACATATCCATTTATCCGGTACTGTGCAACATATCCATTCATCCGATACAGTCCAACATATCCATTCATCCGGTACTGTGCAACATATCCATTCATCAGGTACTGTGCAGCATATCCATTCATCCGGTACAGTCCAACATATCCACCTACTGTACTATATCCATTCATCCTGTGCAACATATCCATTCATCAGGTACTGTGCATATCCATTCATCCGGTACTGTGCTACATATCCATTTATCCATGTATCCGGTACTGTGCAACATATCTATTCATCCGATACATTCAAACATATCCATTCATCAGGTACTCTGCAACATATCCATTCATCTGCTACTGTGCAACATATCTATTCATCCGGTACAGTCCAACATATCCACCTGTCCTGTACTGTGTAACATATCCATTCATCAGGTACTGTGCAACATATCTATTCATCAGGTACTTTGTAACATATCAATTCATCAGGTACTGTGCAACATATCCATTCATCAGGTACTGTGTAACACATCCATTCATCAGGTACTGTGTAACATATCCACCTGTCCTGTACTGTGCAACATATCCATTTATCCTGTACTGTGCAACATATCGAACTATCCTGTACTGTGCAACATATCGGCTTTCCTGTACTGTGCATCATATCCAACTATCCAGTACTGTGTAACATATACACCTGTCCTTATACTGTGCAACATATCCATTAATCAGGTACTGTGTAGCATATCCAACTATCAGGTACTGTGCATCATATCGAACTATCCAGTACTGTGTAACATATCCACCTGTCCTTATACTGTGTAACATATCCATTCATCCGGTACTGTGCAATATATCCATTTCTCCGGTACTGTGTAATATATCCATTCATCCGGTACTGTGTAACATATCCATTCATCAGGTACTGTGCAACATATCCATTAATCCGTTACTGTGCAACATCTCCATTCATCCGGTACTGTGTAACATATCCATTCATCCGGTACTGTGCAACATATCCATTTATCCGGTACTGTGCAACATATCCATTCATCCGATACAGTCCAACATATCCATTCATCCGGTACTGTGCAACATATCCATTCATCATGTACTGTGCAACATATCCATTCATTTGCTATTGTGCAACGTATCTATTCATCCGGTACAGTCCAACATATCCACCTGTCCTGTACTGTGTAACATATCCATTCATCAGGTACTGTGTAACACATCCATTCATCAGGTACTGTGTAACATATCCACCTGTCCTGTACTGTGCAACATATCCATTTATCCTGTACTGTGCAACATATCGAACTATCCTGTACTGTGCAACATATCGGCTTTCCTGTACTGTGCATCATATCCAACTATCCAGTACTGTGTAACATATACACCTGTCCTTATACTGTGCAACATATCCATTAATCAGGTACTGTGTAGCATATCCAACTATCAGGTACTGTGCATCATATCGAACTATCCAGTACTGTGTAACATATCCACCTGTCCTTATACTGTGTAACATATCCATTCATCCGGTACTGTGCAATATATCCATTTCTCCGGTACTGTGTAATATATCCATTCATCCGGTACTGTGTAACATATCCATTCATCAGGTACTGTGCAACATATCCATTAATCCGTTACTGTGCAACATCTCCATTCATCCGGTACTGTGTAACATATCCATTCATCCGGTACTGTGCAACATATCCATTTATCCGGTACTGTGCAACATATCCATTCATCCGATACAGTCCAACATATCCATTCATCCGGTACTGTGCAACATATCCATTCATCATGTACTGTGCAACATATCCATTCATTTGCTATTGTGCAACGTATCTATTCATCCGGTACAGTCCAACATATCCACCTGTCCTGTACTGTGTAACATATCCATTCATCAGGTACTGTGCAACATATCCATTCATCAGGTACTGTGCAGCATATCCATTCATCCGGTACTGTGCTACATATCCATTCATCCGGTACTGTGCTACATATCCATTTATCCTGTACTGTGCAACATATCTATTCATCCGATACATTCCAACATATCCATTCATCAGGTACTCTGCAACATATCCATTCATCTGCTACTGTGCAACATATCTATTCATCCGGTACAGTCCAACATATCCACCTGTCCTGTACTGTGTAACATATCCATTCATCAGGTACTGTGCAACATATCTATTCATCCGGTACAGTCCAACATATCCACCTGTCCTGTACTGTGTAACATATCCATTCATCAGGTACTGTGCAACATATCTATTCATCAGGTACTTTGTAACATATCCATTCATCAGGTACTGTGCAACATATCCATTCATCAGGTACTGTGTAACACATCCATTCATCAGGTACTGTGTAACATATCCACCTGTCCTGTACTGTGCAACATATCCATTTATCCTGTACTGTGCAACATATCGAACTATCCTGTACTGTGCAACATATCGGCTTTCCTGTACTGTGCATCATATCCAACTATCCAGTACTGTGTAACATATACACCTGTCCTTATACTGTGCAACATATCCATTAATCAGGTACTGTGTAGCATATCCAACTATCAGGTACTGTGCATCATATCGAACTATCCAGTACTGTGTAACATATCCACCTGTCCTTATACTGTGTAACATATCCATTTATCAGGTACTGTGTAGCATATCCAACTATCAGGTACTGTGCATCATATTTATCTATCCAGTACTGTGTAGCATATCCAACTATCCCGTACTGTGTAACATATCCAACTATCCAGTACTGTGTAACATATCCAACTATCCAGTACTATGCAGCATATCCAACTATCCTATACTGTGTACATGTAGCATATCCAACTATCCAGCATTGTGCAACATATCCAACTATCCAGTACTGTGCAGCATATCCAACTATCCAATACTGTGCAGCATATCCAACTATCATGTACTGTGTAACATATCCAACTATCCAGTATTGTGTAACATATCCAAATATCAAGTACTGTGTAACATATCTAACTACCCAGTACTATGTAGCATATCCAACTATCCAGTACTGTGCAGCATATCCAACTATCCAGTACTGTGCAGCATATCCAACTATCCAGTACTG